AGCAAATGCAAAAGAGTTGAAATCATCCCTTGCATATTATCGGATCATAGCGCTCTGAAATTAGAAATTAATGACAAAGGATACTGCAAAAATTCCGCAAACACATGGAAACTAAATAACACACTCTTGAGTAATCAGTGGGTCACAGAAGAAATTAAAGAAGAAATTAAACAATACCTAAAAGAAAATGAAAATGCAGATACAACTTACCGGAATCTGTGGGATGCAATGAAAGCCGTTCTGAGAGGAAAATTTATTGCACTGAGTTCCCACATCAGGAAAACAGAACGAATACAAATAAATAACTTGATGCTACACCTCAAACAGCTAGAAAAAGAAGAGCAAGTCAAGCCCAAAGCCAAAAGAAGAGAGGAAATTATAAAAATCAGAGCAGAAATCAATGCAATAGAGACTAAGAAAACAATCCAAAGAATCAATGAATCAAAGAGTTGGTTCTTTGAAAGAATAAATAAAATCGATAAGCCCCTAGCCAACCTTATTTAAAAAAGGAAAGAAAAAGCTCAAATTCATGCAATAAGAAATGAAGAAGGAGAAATCACTACAGACCCAATAGAAATACAGAGGATCATCAATACCTATTTTGAAAACCTCTACTCTCAAAAGTTTGATAACACAGAAGAAATAGACAGATTCTTAGAAGCATATGAAGTACCAAAGCTAGATCAAGAGGATATAAAACTGTTGAATAACCCAATCTCTGCTAATGAAATTGAGAATGTAATTGGGTCCTTGCCCACCAAGAAGAGCCCAGGCCCAGATGGATTCACTGCAGAATTCTACAAGAAATATAAAGAAGACCTAATGCCGACACTCCTCAAACTATTCAATGAAATTGAAAGGGAAGCAATCCTTCCTAAGTCATTCCTGGAAGCAAATATTACTCTAGTACCAAAACCTGAGAAAGACCCAACTATAAAAGAGAACTATAGACCGATCTCCCTAATGAACACAGATGCAAAAATCCTCAATAAAATATTGGCAAATAGGATCCAGCAAATCATCAAGAAGATTATACACCATGACCAGGTGGGATTCATCCCAGGAATGCAAGGATGGTTCAACATATGCAAATCAATAAATGTAATCCACCATATCAATAAAGCCAAAAATAAGAATCACATGATCATCTCTATAGATGCAGAAAAAGCCTTCGATAAGGTCCAACACTTATTCATGATAAAAACTTTACAGAAAATTGGAATAAATGGTCTTTACCTCAATATAATAAAGGCCATTTATGACAAACCAACAGCCAGCATCATACTAAATGGCCAAAAATTGAAAGCCTTTACTTTAAAATCGGGTACAAGACAAGGATGTCCTTTATCACCACTCCTATTTAATATAGTACTGGAAGTACTAGCCAGAGCAATTAGGCAAGAAAGAGAAATAAAAGGGGTAAAGATAGGAAAAGAAGAAGTTAAATTATCATTGTTTGCAGATGACATGATACTCTACATAGAAGACCCCCTAAACTCCATTGAAATACTCTTAGATACAATAAATAAATTCAGTAATGTGGCTGGATACAAAATCAATACTCAGAAATCAATAGCATTCCTATACACGAACAACAAAATTACAGAGAGGGAAATAAGAGAAACTGGACTATTCACATTAGCAAGCAAAAAAATGAAATATTTAGGAATTACTCTTACGAAAGAAGTGAAAGACTTATACAGTGAAAATTATAATACACTGAAAAAGGAAATTGAAGATGATCTCAGAAAATGGAAAGACATCCCTTGCTCATGGATAGGAAGAACAAACATTGTGAAAATGGCCATTCTCCCAAAACTGTTATACAGATTCAATGCAATCCCAATAAAAATACCATCAACATACCTTATAGATCTAGAGAAATTACTCCTAAATTTCATCTGGAACCAGAAGAGACCTAGAATCGCAAAGGCAATTCTAAGCAGCAAAGACAAAGCAGGAGGCATCACAATCCCTGACTTGAAGTTATACTACAAAGCAACAGTAGTAAAATCAACATGGTATTGGAATCAAAACAGAGCTGAAGATCAGTGGAATAGATTAGAAGATACAACCACAACTATGAACACACTCAACCACCTTATTTTTGATAAAGGAGCCAAGCAGGTTCACTGGAAGAATGACAGTCTCTTTAATAAATGGTGCTGGAAAAACTGGCTCTCCATTTGCCGAAAACTAAAGCTAGACCCATGTCTATCACCATGTACTAAATTAAAATCTAAATGGGTCAAAGATCTGAATATTAAAACAGAAACACTAAATCTATTGGAAGACAAAATAGGTAGAAACCTTGGAGACATAGGAGTAGGTAAAGAATTCATGAACAGGACTCAAACCGCACGGGAAATACTTCCCAGAATCAATAACTGGGACCACTTCTTATTAAAAAGTTTCTGCATGTCAAAAGAAATCTCCAGCATAGTGAAAAGAAAACCCACAAACTGGGAAAAGATTTTAGTGAACTCTCTCTCAGACAAGGGCCTCTTGTCTAAAACATACAAAGAATTAAAGAAACTCAGACCTCCGAAATTCAAAGATCCAATCCAAAAATGGGCATCTGAGATGAATATGCAATTCTCAGATGAAGAAATGCAAATGGCAAATAAATACATGAAAAAATGCTCATCATCATTGGTCATTAGAGAAATGCAAATTAAAACCACACTGAGATACCATCTCACTCCTGAAAGAATGGCCAGGATCAAGAAAACCGACAACAAATGCTGGAGAGGCTGTGGGGAAAAAGGAACTCTCCTGCACTGCTGGTGGGAGTGTAGACTGGTACAGCCTTTGTGGAGATCTGTCTGGAGATTTCTCAAAAAGTTGGGACTGGAAATCCCATTTATTCCAGCTATTCCACTTCTAGGCATATTCCCAGAAGAACTGAAAGCATCATACCACAGTGATATATGTGCACCTATGTTTATAGCAGCACAATTTGTAATCGCCAGATCTTGGAAACAACCCAAGTGCCCATCAACTGAGGAATGGATAAAAAAGTTGTGGTATTTCTATACAATGGAGTATTATTCAGCTATAAAGAAGGATCACATTGAGATATTTATCAATAAATGGGCGCAGCTTGAGACCATACTCATTAGTGAAATAAATCAATCTCGCATGCGTGAATACCGAATAGTTTCCCTAATGTAAATAATGATTCAAATATATAAAAATATGTGGTAATCATGATTCCCCATTAGGTGGCCTTGAAGCCTTATAAAGTTTTCACTCATTAATTAGAAAGGCTTTATTCTGGGCTTCTTGATATGAAAATATTTGAAGCTAGAGTATATGATGTTTTATCCAAATATTTCAAGGAAAAAGACACTATGGTAACTACTATTAAGTCAGGTTATAAGGTGGTGAAGTACTAGGTTGTTGAAACAGTCATGCTGTGACCTCTATTGTTATATTGTTATGTCCTGTTTTATCTCAATCTCCCCCTTATTGTTTCAAAAAAAATTATTTAGTCATTTCTTGTTTGTCTTAATTAAAGAAAAAATTCAAAAAAATTAGGATATATAAATAGTAACTTTTCGATTTCCTATTAACTTGTTTTGAAGTCCTGTAGTACTCCCACGATCTTGTTTTGACTGATTAGACTCTGTTCCATTCTATATGATAGTATCAAGTTTGAAGACATAGGCAACTACTTTGAAGACAATAAGATTCACTAAGATACCCATTCTGGTTTGACTATTGTCTTCTTTGGAAGTCCTGTAATGTTTACAATGCCTAAGTTTTATTGGTCTTGTTCTCTACTGTTTTGTCCAACTTTATAATATCTAATAAGATAGACAATTCTTTTTAAGGAAACAAGGGACAACGTTGATAACCATTGTTGATAAACTTGTACTCTGTTCTACACCATGTGCTATGTCTATCCTTGGTATTGACTGACAGCTTTGTTTTGCCATATTTGACTGTATTCTTCCCCCCCCCCCAAAGAAAGTAATAAGCACTAAGGAGTAATAAAATCCAAGATGTGTAAATTTTGTTGTAAAAAAGAGAGGGAAAAAAAAAGAGCTCTAACGGATATAACAGCAAGTGTGTTTAGGGGTGTTAAATAGCTGACTTTATCAATGTTTTTGAAACATTGAACACAGCTGTTTGCAGTCTCCCTGTTTGAATGTCCACCTTGTGTTCTTTGATACTGTGATTTGAGGAACTATTTTCAAGAAGATAGTGTGTAATCTACTAGCAGGTGATTTCTTACTGTTATGTTTTTTTGTTTTGTTTTGTTTTGTTTTGTTTTGTAGTTCTGTATTGCATGTACCCTTACGCCGCTTTGGTTTGTTTTGTGTTTTTCTCTTTTTCCTCTTAAATAAAAAAAAAATGAACATGATTTCCTTAAATGTAGCTTAATAATATAGACACTCAAAATAAAAAATAGAGGGTGTGGACGTAAATCAGTGGTACCGTGTACCTGGCTTCAGTTCCCAGTCTCTGGCACTATGCCTGGCCCCCCGACACACACACACACACACACACACACACACACACACACACACACAGCACACCAGGCACTTAAAACTATTTGAAAATAAGGTATATTTTCTTGAAGATTGGAAAGTGAGAAGAGCGACCGAGTTTTCATTTGGTTCATTAAATCTATAGGGGCTTGAGTGATGTGCGGATTCGCTTGTAAAAAATGTCTTGAGAAGCTGGGCGTGGTGCACACGCCTGTCACCCCAGCACAAGAGAGGCTGAGGCAGGAGGATCTCCACAATTCGAGGTCAGCCGGGACACACAGTGAATTTCAGGCTAAACTGAACCAGACAGCGAAACCTGCCTCAAAAAACTAGAGAGTTAGGAACCCAGGATACATCTCAGCGACAAGGCTCCTGCAGGGCAAGTCCTGAGTTCAATTTCCAGCGTCTGGGGTGGGGGCCCTAAAAAGCTTTGATGAACAGTCCTGCGGAGGAGACTCCCAATCCAGACCCGCCATGCTGGACCAATAGGTCGTCCACACCCACCTGCAGCCCCTCCTAGAGGGCACAATGTACACTCCAATAAACCCTCAACGCCCGGTTCCAACTTCCCGCTCGGTGCTGGGACAAGCCGAGCCTCTGCCTGCGCACGTAGGACTAGCCTGCACCAGACGGAGCTGAACTCGGAGGACGCCGTAGGCAGCGAGCCCGGCCCCGCCCTTGCCGGAAGCGGAAGCAGCATCGAGGCGTCTCCGTGTTTGTGACGTCATGTTTGCGCGACTCGGCCCCTCCTCTTTCCTTGTGGTGGGTTCCATTCAGTCAGCGACGAGGAGTTCCGCGTGGAGGGTCCGCCCTGAGGCGGTGCAGCTGGTGGAAGGCCAGTGTTGAGCTGAGCCGCCTGAGGTCCTGGAAGGTCTGTTTGCGCTCGCAGGCTTACGTTAAATAATTGCCACCGGTGATTCGAGTCACGTTGCCGACGTGCCCGTGTTCCGCCGCCCCCTGGACCTGGCGGCGGAAGCGCGTTCGGGTGAGCACTGCGAGAGAACCGGGTGGGCCGCGGGTGGAGTCGGGGCTCGGGCTCCTAAAGTGTCCCCCGGAAGCCTCCTTTGTGTGGAAAGTGATTGAGTGTTGGGGGCGCTCTACTCATCGGTGGTGTGTTTCATGGCTGGCTGCTGTTCCGGAGGTTGGGGCCCGGTTGACTGGAAGGGTGTTTTCTCGTCGCTTGCCCCTCTCCTGTCTCCACTTCCTGGCTTCTGTGCGGTGAGCAGCTTTCCTCCGCCATGCGTTTAACCCGCGCCAACTTTTGCCTTGGAATCAGGTGGGTTCCGACTGAAACTACGGAAACCGTGAGCCAAAATAAAACTTATTTGAATTGTGGATTTGGGGTATTTTGTCTTAGTCACTGGAAAGTGACAAATATACTCATTCTCTCTTAGATAAGCATCCTTTATTAGGTTCCCATGGTGTGCATATTTCTGCATGTGGCAGGAAAGATTTTTAGTCCTTTTAATGAAGAGAGCCAAAAGTACATAACCATCCCTTTCATCTGAGCGTTCCAGGCCTACGTACCTCCTCAGAAAACTTAAAAACCTAGCCTCCAGCAAGAAAGGATACCTGCTCTATTTCATTAGTAGTAGAATAATTGTGTTTACTATTGAGAAGTTAATTGGACTAAGTCTTTTTTCCACATTTTTCTTTAGAGCAGTCAAACGTCTTTCAGGTCATTTCAGTATAGAATTGTAATACAGTATAATGGAGTACATTCATTTTTCGCATTTTCTTCACATTTGCTTTCAGATAAAATATATTGTATTGTAAACTATTTGAGAATGAGCACTCTGAAAGTAAATTGTAGATATGTGAACTTTAGATACTGATGCATCTCCTAAATATAAAAAAGGACTCAATTTAAATCAAAATAATAGCCAGGGTTGGAGGTAGCTCAGTAACAAGGGTTAGGATGCAACTCAGGCACATACATTAGGCCCTGGGTTCAATCCCCATCGGCCTACTGCAAAAGGAAATGAGTAACAATAGCATTGCCTAATATCTCCTCCATAAAAAATTGATCTGCATCGTTGTGACATAGGTGTAGAGAGTCTGTATGTGCATATGTGTATATACAAGGATGTGTTTTAAGGAGTTGAACCTCAAGTAGAGCTGTACCACTGAACTACACCTCCAGCCCCATCCTGGCTTCCGGATATTTTGATTCTAAGACAACCTTTTCCTTGTCACACTAAGGCACTAGGTTGCCCCCCTGGCTTGAACTTGTATTCCTCCTGCCTTCGCCCCACAGAATACTGGCATGACTGTGTGCCACCACGCCCAGGTCAAGCTTTCTCATTATGTTTGATTATGTTATTTAATCTCTTTAACGTGTTCCTTCTTTCTTGAACTCACTGGTGTTACATCCATGACTGTCCCATGGTTCAGAGCTACCCAGCAGCAAGACCTAAATTACAGCTCCATTGTGAACGTGTCAGGCCCAGAATTAGTCCTGAGTCTCCATTGTGTTGGCATTTTTTTTTTTTTTTTTTTTTTTTTTGTCTTTTTCATGTTTATCGGTACCAGGGATCGAACTCAGGACTACCTGCTTCCAAGGCAGGTGCTTATGCTGCTGAACTAAATCCCCAGCCCCTGTGTTGGCATTTTAAAGAAGCACTCATTTGTTTAAAAAGTCAAAGCGCTTTGCCATTTATGGTTGTCTTCTCATGGCACATTTAAATGAGTCCTTTTTTATTAGATTTTTATTATTACATGTTTCGAGTACATAATGATTACTTTCCTTGTAGGGGTTTCCCGGTCTCCGTTAATAGTAAGCCTGATGGGCTGGGGAGTTAGCTCAGCAGCATAAGGGCTTGCAAATGTCTCAAGTTCAATCCCAGGTACCTATAAAAGCTTAAAAAAAAAATAGTAAGCCTGTTAGTGTTCGTGTACCTAACACATCTTAATTCTTTCATATTATTGTTATTTCTTTCCCTCCCCCTTCCTTCTCCCTGAGTCTTTCATTTCATGATTGTATAATTGACGATAGGGTCCTTAGCAGAGGCTGGAGATCAGTATGAAAAGAGCCTGCTAGTGAGTGCCTGGTGCTTTGAGGGCATAATGTCTCTAAGTTAGCAACCTCTGCCTTGGTAACCATCAAGCAGCCAGATGTTAGTAAGTGGATGGATGTGGCTTTCTTGCAGTAAAGCCAAATTTATGATAGTAGGCCAGTGAGCCATAGGCCATCAACATCTGGGTAGAGAATTCAAAAGGCCATTTACAAAATCTTTTGTAGGTCAGGCGTGCTTTGCAATGGCAGTTTATTGGGAGTAAGTGCATTTATATCATTCCTCTATTTGCAGTGAAAAGTTTTTTGGTTTGCTTTGGTTTTGGTTTGTTTGTTTGTTTTTACAATGCCAGGGATTGAACCTAGGACCATTGCCCTGAACTACAGTCTCCGGAATTTATTTATTCATTCATTTTAATTTTGAGAGTCTTGCTAAGTTGCCCACGCTTGCCTCAAATTTGCATTCCTCCTGCTTCAGCCTCCCAGAGTGCTGAGATTACAGGTGTGCGCCACGACACTCAGTTTTGGATAGGAAGTTTAATACTTGCTTAATGTATTGATCAACATGGCACTCTGGCTTAAAGCTTCTCCGGGAACTTGTCTTCCTTACTTCTAAACATGTGTGAGTAATCTGCAGTGAATAAACTTTTTATATTTTTCCTATTGGAAGAGACTTATTTTCAACTTAAATTTTCAAGATTGGTTACCTAAGTCAGAGGACAAATAACACACTTAATTTCATTGTACCTTACGGTCTTTTTTTACCTTTATATAGTACTTGTGCCATTTTAGAGTGTCAGAATTAACTTTTTACAAGAAATTAGTTAAAATTATTCTGGAGGGAAAACAGTGAATAGATTTTTAACCGCAAGTCATTTGTTTTCAGAAAGACAGTTAATGTCCTCTCCACTCGTATGCTAAGAATACTACAGTGTATTTGGCTAATTTTGTATTGTGGACAGGTCATTATTATTTTGTGAATTTTGAGTCTATTGTGAGTTTTGATTCCATTTCAGTGTGCCTTTTTTTGTTTTTTTTTTTTTTTTTTTGTTGTTGTTGTTGTTGTTTTGTTTTTTTTTTTTTGAGGTACGGGGGGCTGAGCCCAGCCTCTTCACACTGAGCTACATCTCTGCCTCTTTTTCATTTTTTAAATTTTGAGACAGTGTCTTGCCAAGACACTAACTTGCCCAGGCTGGGCCCAAACTTGTCTCCTTCTGGCTTCAGCCTCCAGAGTGCTGTCTTCTATTTTTGCTTGGCTGTCCTGTTACTTTTTTGTGAGGAGTGGGAATTGCCTGACAGTCAACAAATGACCCTTGGATTCCCTTGGTGAGACTCCTTAAAGACACGCACACCTTTGTGGGGCAGAATCAGTGCTGTGGTTCAGCGGCCAATTAACCTTTTCTCTCACTGCAGGCTGCCAGAAGACTGTAGAAGCCTGTATCTTGGTAACAAAGAAGTCACTTTAAGATTGCCCCTTAGAGACAGTGAACTAGCCAACAGTTTTTAGCCAGGCACTTACTTTAATAAGTTTATTAGCTCTCCAGTGGGGTTGGTAAAGGTGTACAGAAGTCAGGTGATGGTGCACAAATGAGGTTCTGTGTACACTCGGGCAAAGGAGATTATGAGAGGACACATCAAAGGTGGAGCTCACTGGGGTCAGCCCCAGTATGGTCACATCCCACTCGATGATGTGAAAGCTGATCAGGTTCCTCAGGGCCTGAGCTGTGTGACATGGAACACACTGCAGGAGCAGTAACGGGGAAGCAAAGTCCAATAGCCCTTGTTGTAGCTGCCCCAAACCCCCCTCCCAAAAAAAAAAAACAAGGCCCCATGATGAAAAACGGGGCAAGGCGACGATGTGTTTTTAAAAGAAGCGCTTTTATTTTAGCCCAGCGACACCGTGCAGATGGAATTTGCAAAGCTATGCAACTGAGTCAGAATTTTGACTGATTTTTATAGTCATTTATGATTAACTCATTGATCATTAGGTACAAGCTTAGAGGGTGGGTGCACAGGAGGAGGCACTGGGCTGACGCTCAGCAGGCATCCTGGATTCAGTGTCCCTGTCACAAGGGGCACAGAACAGAAGCCATCAAACTAAGAGACACATTACAAAGCGTCTAATCTAATAGGTGCCCTTAGCGTGTGAGGTGTCCGAGTTAGGAGAGTCTCAGGAAAGCAGCTCCCCGAGCAAGGAGTAAGATTGAGATCCCAGGGCCTGTGAGTTGTGGACGGAGCCTCAGTAGAAGTCGGTAGCCCAGCACAAGTGTGTCCACCAAGCATGGCTGCATTCAGCAGGAGCAGTTGCTTTTCTGTTGCTTCTCCTCCGGTGCCTCACGGGTTGACTGAGCAGAGCATGTTTAGTGTAGTAAAGACTCAGGCCCATCATGACAAAGCTGGTGTTGCAGGTAATCTGAAGCTAGGGGGAATCATTCAATAGCAGACACAGGCCATGCTCAGGCTGTTCAGCAGATAGGGCAGCCGGGCTGGAGGGAGCTGCACGTTTCAGTTCCTTTGGAGCACTGAAGCCGCTGGAAGCTTCTGCCTAATGATGCACAAGAGAAGAGGTTCTCACCTTTCCCTGCAGTGAGGAGCTACACCACCCCCCTTGAAAGTCACATTAAAGCCAGGTGTGGTGGCTCATGCCTGTCATCCCAGCACTCGGCAGCTGAGGCAGGAGAATTGTCAATAATCCAAGACCAGCCTGGGCTACAAAGTGAGCTCAAGGCCAGCCTGAACTACATAGGGAGACCCTGTCTCAAAAAGACAAAAAGAAAAACATATTAGTATTTCCTCAGATTCAGTGACACTCTCACTAAATACTCTTGCTTAAGGACTAAATTACAAGTTTACCTTCAAACAGTTACATGTGAAGGAAATAGAAATGCTTAGTTACATAAATACATGTGCATATAAACAGACCCGCCAAGAACGTGCTCTGTAGGTCATAGTTGAAGTACAAGTACACAGTTCATTGCTACAAGGACCACTTTCATGTATCCTGTGTCTCTGCCACAAGTGCTGGATTCAGTAACCTCTTAGTGAGCCAAGCTTTGATGCCCAGAGAATCTGAATCTCCCAGTGGCTTTCCTTTTTGTGCTGGTTTTACTCTGGTAACATTTCCTTTTTTCTTTCTAGTTTTTAAAGGGATGCAGTTTCCTTATGCTACTCAGGTTGGCTTGAGACTCCTGGGCTCAAGCCACACTCCTGTCCCCGTGTCTTAATCACTTTTCATACTGCTGGGACAGAACACCTGCACGCACAACTTACAAGAAGAGAGGTTTGTTTGGCTCACAGTTTGCAGAGGTTTCAGTCCACAGTCAGATGGCTCCAAGGTGGGAAGGTTCCAAGCTGGCTCCAAAGTGGTGCCAGGGGCCTGGGTGGAGGGTAGCTCCTCAGGCATGGCAGGAGGTAGAAGAGCGGGAAAGGAGGAGTTGGTGATTGGGATAAACCCTTCCAGGCTACACCCCGGCAGCCCACCTCTTCTGGCCAGACCCAGCCTCCTAAGAGCAAACCAGCTATCAGCCCCACAACGCAATCGCTTTGCAAAGGTCCCGTGTTTGAGATCATGACTAGATACAAATTGTACCACTCAGCCTCCCAAGAATCTGGAATGACAGGTTTGGCCTCACCTAGCTGCATGTACATTGTCTGGGAAGCATGGAAACTGCACAGGTGCCAGGATTTACTCCCCTACCTTGGTGACACAGCAGTTCTGCAGCGTCCCTTGGGAGACCGATCTGGCAGTCAGGTTTAACTCCAGCCTGTCCTTTGCCTCTTGGTGAAGAAGCCCAAGTAGCCAGGTAGCCATCTAATCTTCTGAGGTATTGGGTAATCCTTGAGCCCTAGAGATGATCGCCAAAAGACAGCAAAGTGCTGGGCTTGGAATCAAAATGTTTTTCTCTCTGATCAACCTGGAGTGCATCAGCAACCAAAGGCAATCAGCAGTTCAGGGACGAACCTGCAGTCAGGCTCAGGGTCTCTGGTGCTTAACTAGGCAGCGGGGGATTTCTGTGCTGTCTCGATCTAGATTTGGTTTAGTTTAGTTTTGGTTTGATCCCAGGCCTTTCTTACTGAGCTATATCCCAAGCTCTGTCTCACTGTGTTTTTGAGGCAGGATTTCCCAAGGTAGTTCAGGCTAACCTTGAGCTCATTATGTAGCTCAGGCTGACCTCAGACTTGCCTTGATGTCCTGCTGCAGGCTCTCAAGCGTTGGCCTTACAGGCATGCACCACCATGCCCAGCTTAAGATAGGGTCTCACTAATTTCCCTGGCTTTCACCTCCTGGCTTGAATCTAGGTTTTTTTCACATTAAGAAGATATATTGATACCAGTGTGAAGGGCTGGTGTGACACTTAAGTGGCTCTCCATGTGTATGCAGTCATCCTGAGCTCAGCACATGACAGCGTGTGTCCATACTCTGATGACTCATGGTGAAATACTTCATGGAACACAGTGACTGATGGCAAGGAGTCCAGATAACCCTGTGAAAGGAGGAATGGCGGTTTCCACAAGTCATGTATTCATAAGCCAGCCTGAAGTACACCTGGGTTTCCTGGGAGGAGGCCCATTTTACCGGGAGCCTCACAGGACGTCAACCATTCATTTGGCCCCCGCCAGTTCTGTTGATGCTCTACTTTGGTGCCCTCTGAACAGCAGACTACCCCGGGAAGGACCTCAGCCATCACCGTACCCTTCTGTTGTGCGAGTTGACCAGAGAATGGAAACATGTTTGTTAGGGCCCGGGTATGTGTGCTGTGTGATCTCCTTTATGTGATTTATCACCATGGGCAAATGCTGACGTAATTTCCACGGGCTTGGATTTTCTTACCTAAAACTTTTTATTTTTTTCTTACCTGGCCAGGTGTGGTAGTGCACACTTGTAATCCCAGCACTCGGGGAGGCTGAGGCAGATCGAAAGTTGTAGCCTGACCTGGGCAATTTAACGAGACCCTGTCTTAAATTTAAAAAGAAAAAATGTAAAACTGGCTGCAGCTGTAGTTCAGTGTGAGGGTCCTAGGTTTGACATCCCTACCCCATTACCACCAAGTGACAACAAAAATTCCAAAGTAGTCCTTACCTGTAAAATGGGACTGTGGCAGTGTTTCTGGGGGACACCATAGCTCACCATCCCTTTTTTGCTATCAGTGAGACATGGCAATTTTGCCCAGTTGTGTATTCTCCTGCCTTCTCTCTTTCCAGGAGCCCTTCTGTGTAGGGAGCCAGGCTTCCTTCTTCAAGAAGAGATAAAGGAGGACAGGATGGTGGCTGACTGCCTGACAGGCTGCTATCAGGTATGCAGGGGCCAGGTCCCACCCAATGACATGCTGGCCCGACCAGATGGACACATTTCCGGCCAAGGCAGATTTGTGTCCCCGCCTAAAATCCAGGAAAGCCTCGGCCAGGACCGAGGCCCAGGTGATTCCTGGGGGAGCCACACCGCCCTTACTGTAAGGTGTTACCAGGAAGCTATTCCAGGACATCAGTAGCTGCTGACCGTGACACTCGTGGGGACTGAGTGTGTTTGTTATTTCGCCAGGTACTCGGATAGACAGGAAGAGAGAAGCAACCGTGCCTTTCTGTGAAAGTTTGTTAGTTCATGATGCTTGTATATCAGACACGTACATGTGTTCAGGACCTTTAATAGCACAGAGAAAGAGCAGCAGAGCACCCGTCTAGTTATGGAGAGAATTGTGTTTCAGAAGGACATTGTGTCCCTATGACGGCAGGAGGTGGACAGTGTGAGCGGGTGGGTACAGGAAAGGTCCCCAGGACCCTGGGCCCTGGGTGGGCAGTGGAGATCTTGGGGGACCCAAGCGGCCGTCAGCCTCACCCCTCACCTGTGGTGAACACCGGGGCAGAGGTCGCTGCCGTGACTCGTTGCGCAAACCGGCCTGTGTGTGCTGATTCAGGACTCGGTGACCTTTGAGGATGTGGCCCTGGACTTCACCCAGGAGGAGTGGGTTTTACTGGACCAGAGTCACAGAGAGCTGTACAGAGAGGTGATGCTGGAGAACTACGAGAACCTGACCTCCGTGGGTAAGAGGGCCGCGCAGCTGCAGCCTGCTGGGGAGGAGACGGAGGCTGCGGGCCTGGGTGCCGGCCTGGGTGAGGGGTACTGACAGTCCACTGGGCAGTGAGGGGCGGAGCCTCTGCCCCAGGACAGTAGTCCTGAACTCAGGTACAGTTTCAGTAATGCTTTGATGTACAACAGCAGAACCAGCATGAATTTATTTTTTTCTTCACAACTTCACAAACTGAAGATTCCTCCTTATAATAACTAATCGCTATCTGATTATTTTCCTTTTTTATTAGATTGATGACTTTTTCTTTTTTTTTTTGGTCTTTTTGAGACAGGGTCTCACTATGCAGTTCAGTTAACTTTGTAGCCCAGGCTGGACTTGAACTTGCAGTGATCCTCCTGCCTCAGCCTCCCGAGTGCTGGGATTCTGAGAGAACGCCACCATGCCTGGCTTTTTTTTTTTTTTAATACCGGGGATCAGACTCACAACCTTACGCTTTCCAGGCAGGGACTTATCCCACTGAGCTAAATCCCCAGCACCCTCCTTCTTTTTTCTGAGACAGAGCCTTGCTGTATACTTTAGGCCAGCCTTGCACTCACTTTGTAGTCCAGGCTGGACTTGAACTTGTCAGTGATCCTCCTGCCTCAGCCTCCCCAAGTGCTACAGTCACAGGTGTGTACCACCACACCCAGCACAGCAACTTTCAGCTTTTCACTTGTGTAAAACTTGAGAGTTTTTCCAAATTAGCAGTGTCGCTTCTGTTCTGGGTTGGGCCCTTATGAAGTAAATAAGGTCACTTGAACATGAAGGCCCCTGTCTTGTCCTTGTAGATGATACAGCTGCTAGAGTACTGCTGTTCGGGTAGTGTGTACAAACGGATGGCTTGCATCCTAGGTAGGATGCGATGGGACTTTCCAGTTTTCTTCAGTTACTCAGAATGTGAATTATTTCTGCAGTGTTCTTACGAATATTTTGGGGCCACAGATGACAGTAGGTCACTGAAACACAGAAAGCACAGCTGTGGATAAGGGGAAACCACGTTAAGTTTTAATCTAATATGGTGGTTGTTGAAATGTGGTCCAGAGTCACCACCATCATCTTCACCCTACTATAAATACTGTCAGTGTCCTCCTCTGAGTCACTGAGCCCCAGAGCTCTGTGCAGAGCCAGAGGTCATCTCCGAGGCACATCTCCTGGCTGGCTAGTGTGAGGTTGTGGGTTTGATCCCGGTACAAAAAGGAAAACTCTGGATTGGTTCTTGCGAGGGTTTTGTTTTGTGGTACTGGGGGTGGCATGCAGGCTTTTGTGCATGCCAGCTGAGTGCTTACCCACTCCGAGCCTGTGTCCTGAGAGTTCTCACAAGCCAGCCACCTAAATCAGATATGTTATAATAACTTGTGAGTCCCTGGTATAGTTGTATCCCCAGAACAAATACCTTTTCGTTTCACTTTGATTTTTCTATTTGATTCAAAGCGTGTTTTGTTAGTGTGTATATAAGCCTTCGTGTGGTTTCCAGGTTTACAGAAAATGAGTCATTTGGGGCCCAGACAGAGATATTTACGACTTTAATCCTTCTGTGATAACTCCTGACTGTCATGAGAAGCATCACTCCTGAGTTACACCAAGTTTGGGGCTCTCTTGCCTACACCTCTTGATGAATGCATCTTTCCCCAGGTGCAGGGGCTGAGCTAGTCAAGCCTAGTCTGATCTCCTGGCTGGAACACAAGGGGTCCTGGAGGACGGAGCAGGAAGGAGATGCCCCCGGTGAGTGTCCATGTGGACAGCCCAGTCCCAAGACAGTGAAAGGGGGTGCAGGGAGGAACCTTGGGGAAGACTACAGGTCTGCAGCACGGGCTGTGGACAGGAGAAATCCTCAGCCTCCCGTCCTGTTTCTGACTCACCACACTGGCCTAGGGTTTCACAGAATGATTTGTTCTCTCTCTCTGTTATCAGTTTGTTGTTTATTCTTTGCTCAGATCTTTGCTCTTTATTTCTGATAATATTTGCCATAAGTTTTAATTTTCAGAGAATCACTTAGGAATAAAATGTCTAAAACTCTCTAAAGCCCACAACTTTACCATTGGCAAATTTTTGACCTTCATAACATGCTCAAATTTTATCATCTTCCTCTACCCCTGCCTCAAACTGAGGATTGAAGCCAGGACCTGGCGAATGCTAGGCATGTATTCAACTTCTGTCTTAGTTACTTTTCTCTTGTTGCTGAGACAAAATACCCGACACCCAAAATTAAGGAAGAGAAGGTTTATTGAGCTCACAGTTTGTGGAGGTTTCAGCTCATAATGAGCTGGCCTCACAGAAGGATGACTTACGGCAGAGTAGCAACAGTTCACAGCAGTGGAAAACAGCAAATGCAACAAGACCAGAAAAATACAAGAGGTGCGAACTAAGAGAAAATACTCTTCCTGTCCCTTATACTATGTGTAGGCCCTTCCCTTAGGGTGAGTGTACATGCACACTCACAATCCCAACACTGGACCATGAATCCTTCACAGACTAGAAACCTGCCCCTGTGACCACCTACGGCTTTGGAGACATGTAGACACAAACCATAACAACCACTAACTAGGTTTTTGAGGTTTTGTTTGTTTTAAACCACAGATGAGTCCTATCTTTGTGCACATGTACATGCAGTCCTGGGCACTGAACTCGGAGCATCTTGTATGCTAAGCAAGTGCTGTACCGCTGAGCTGTATCCCTAGCACGCCTATCAGTTTTAATTCCTACAGTCTACCATTTCTTTCTCTAAACCCTAATTTGATTTTTCTGTTTGTCTTCAGAATGGAAAATGCAACTTAGGAGCAGAGAGTCAACATTTGAGCAAGGTGTTTTGACAGAGCAAACTGCCAGTGAGATACTAATGGTAAGGTTAACAAGATGTTTGTTATTTCCCACTCTGAGAGAAGATTGTGAATTCCATTGTAGAGTATAAATAGCCTCCAACCAGGAGGAAGAGATACTGTGCGTCCAGTGGATGTGGGAATGCTTCAGACCTCTGGTGACACCTCTTTTCCTTCAGAGATCCCCGGGGCTGCATACTACCACCTAAACAACCAGGCTTTGACTTTTTAAAGCAGTCTTCAAGTCTCTTATGAGTGTCTGTGACATTAGAGCCAATGTCCTAAGATCCTGGCCCTACTGTTCCTCTATTCAATTTTATAGAAATCACATGGTAGAATATAAGAATTTCATGGAAACTGTAAAAAATCATTGTCATCCTCTAATGTGCTTGAATCATAATTTACCCATTTTTTAACAGCAAAGAACACGTTAGTGAGCTCTAAATTTAATAAGGGACATCTGCTATTCCCTGGACTCTCTAACAAGGTTGGTAATTCCTTTGCAGAAAATCAGTGTAAGTGAGAAATACTTGAAAAAGATGGCATTTACCTCAATGGGAGAAAGTTCTCTAGAAGGGGTGTTCTGAATGGCATGAATTTGAAGCATCCTAATGCTCAGTCAAAACTTGGGCCTTCTATCAGGCGTAGTTGCACTCAGGAGGCTGAGGCAAGAAGAGGACCGTGAGTCTGAGGCCAGTCTGGGTTACAGAGTGAGGTCCAGGCCAGCCTACACCACACAGCAAGACCGTGTCTCAAAACACAGACAAAACTTGAGGCTTCACAGTTCCCAAAAGTACATATGCCCACACCTGCAACTGGGCACTGAGCTTCCAAAAGAATCTTCTGAGAATATACCAGGAATAATTCCAAGGTTGGAACCGTAAACACAGCGTCCTTGCTGTCATTGAGGCTGAGACAAATCCGTAGACCAGGAATTGTAGACATGTAGTGAAAGAGAGAAGAAGAGAAGGTTTCTGTCTTCAGCTAAGTAGAAGTCTCTTTATTCTAAAAAGTCCTTTAACCACCTTTCCTCTCTTCATCAACAGGCGGGCATCCACGGTGCAGGGCAGATTGGTGACCAGAAGCACTGGGGAGAAATCTTAAGTGAACACTCCTATTCCAAGACACACATGACCACCCAAAGTTCAAGGAGCTCTTGTGACTCTGGCCAGGATGGAAAACCCTTTTCTACTCTGAAGGTGACAGCTTCTACTGAACAGAATTTTTCTGCATTAAACGAATGTGCAATGGCCTACAGCGCAACTCCAAATGCTGCTTTCCAGAGGATGAGCTTGCAGCATAGATCTTTCAGATACAGTGACCGTCCCTTCCTTAGTAAGTCATGCTTTCAGACACATGTGAGAAATCACAACGGGAACAAGGTTTATGAATTCAAGCTATTTGCAAGAGATTGTCTGTGTTCCCAAAGTGGAGCTGTCCCTTTTCGAATGTATACTATCAAAGCCTACGAATGTAAGGTCTGTGGGAAAGTCTTTGGGTTTTCCTCTCACCTTAACAGCCACATGCGAACCCACACTGGAGAGAAGCCATATGAATGTAAGTTTTGTGGGAAAGTCTTTGGGTATTCCTCAAACCTTAACAACCACATGCGAACCCACACTGGAGAGAAACTCTACAAATGTAAGGAATGCAAGAAGTCCTTTACAACTTCTTCGAGCCTAATACAGCATTTCAGAATTCATACTGGAGAGAAGCCCTATAAATGTAAGGAATGTGGGAAAGCCTTCACAAAGCGCTCGGGCCTTGCTACACATGTGCAGACACACACGGCAGAGAAGCCATATGTGTGCAAGGCGTGTGGCAAAGCCTTCAGTGTTTCTTCAAACTTAACTGAACACTTCAGAATTCATACCGGAAAGAAGCCCTGCCGCTGTAATGAATGTGAGAAAGCCTTCAACAGTTCCTCCAATGTACCGAAAAATGTAAGAACTCACAACGGAGAGAAACCTCGCTTCCCTGGAACGATATGATGTAACAAATACAAACAAACGTCAGTGTTTCCTGGAGATTTAATAAATGTATAAAGTCTTGTAGTGGAGGAGAACTCTGTTAATGTATAAGATGTTGAAAAGTTGTAATTCTGCTAAACACTTTGATGTTCACTTGTGATATCAAAGTGGAAAAACAATTTTTTTAAGGTAAGGAAAGGTACAAAATCATTTCATATTTTTATTGTAGTACGACAAACTGAACTCAGGGCCTTATGCATACAAGCAAGCACTCCACCAGTAAGCTACATGCCAAGACCCTTTTATTTTGAGATGGGGCCTCAGTTGCCCAGGCTGGCCTCAAACTTGGAATTCTGCCTCAGCCTCCCAAGTAGGCGGGACTCTGCTACAAAGTTGTTTCCTATATGTCATTCCACAAACTCATAACATGGAGGACTGTAACAAGACAAAAACACTTTCTAACAGAGGAATTGCATCTCGGTGTCCTGAAATCTTGGGTGCTGACAATGGATATAGCCTTCTGGATGATGTTTCTTAGTTGTTTTGTTTTGGTTTTTATTTGTGTTTTTGAAACAGGGTCTCGTGCAATTCAGGCTGGCCTTGAGCTCCCTTTGTAGCCCAGGCTGGTCTGGAGCTTGCAGCAATCCTCCTGCATCAGCCTCGAGTGCCCCCATGCCTGGATTGGATGGTCTGTTTTGAATATTTGTGATTCTTTCCTGGTTATTCCTGGGTTTATAAGTCACTCCTGTGTAGTGCCAATATTCAGCTCAAGTTGCTATACCTTACAGGTTCCACCTGGTCAAAAATGATACATAGAGGGCTGGGGATTTAGCTCAACAGCAAAAGCACCTGCCTTGCAAGCAGGTGGTCGTGAGTTCGATCCCCAGTACCGATAAAAATGACAGACAAAAAAAAAGATACCAAGGGCATGAATGTATCTTTCTGCCTGTAGTATCCATAGCACTGAAGTACACCCCCGAGTTCTGTTTTACCAGTATGGGTTCTATGGGGTTTGTGTTAAAGATGATTCATCTGCAGAAGCTCACAGCAACCAAGTTTTCAATCTGATTCAGCTATCAAGTTTGTTACATTGTCCTTGTTTCAGATTAAAGACCAGGGCCTGCCAGGAGTGAGAGAGAAGCTGAGTGAAAGCTGGTAGGGAGAGACCTCACTTTCATGATCATAGAAAAGACAGCTACACTCTTCATTCTTCACACTGGGACTCCCAGTAACATTGGACAAACACAGGAAGGGAGTGAGGGTCTTAAAGTTTCTTTTTCTCTCTAGATCTGTTCCACAGATTGCCAAACTCCCCACCCCACCCCGGTACCAGGGATTGAACTCACGACCTCGTGCTTGCAGTACAGGTATTGATGCTGCTGAGCTACATCCCCAGCCTGGGAAAACAATCGAGTCAAGCAGAAACTCCAGCTGACAGTAGTAACCTCCTCTGATTTGTCTTTCCATGCTCTATGGAAACAAAACCTATTAACAAGTCTGATGGCACATACCTGTAATTCCAGCACTCAAGAGACTGAGGCAGGAGGATCGCTATGAGTTTAGGACCAGCCTGGGCTTCATAATGAGTTCAAAGCCAACCTAAATTATATAGGAACACCCTGTTTTTAAAAATTACATATATATACACACACATACATGCTGATTGTCCTATACCATGTTTCTTGGTGCTGGAAATCATGATGACACTTCTGAATGTGGCCTTTAGGTACAGACATTCCCAGTAAATCAGATTGCAGTCTCAGGGTCAAAATAATTATATATAGCTGGGTTATGGATTATGTTGTGATGACCATAAGAGCTGTTTGAAGGCTCTTCAGCCAACCAGTGAGCTATAACCCAAAACGAGGCAGATAGTAAATCCTGAACAGAAGGGACCTGCATACCTTTTGTTTTTATTTTTTAAAGAGGAAAAAAAGAAAACCGGAAAAATCAAATAGCAAAAGAAAAAAAAAAAAGTGAAACAACTGTACCCATACAGGATTTCAAAGCAAGATGATCGGAATTTAACAGTGTTCGTTACATTGTTACCAGATACAGAAATAAACCACAATAAAACAGAACAAAACAACAGATTTTAAAAAGAAGACAAGGAAACCCCCCACTGTTGCTATAATGCATATAGTTGCCCTTCAAATAAATGCTCAAGACTACCAGCTTTACACCTGCAAAGTCAATAAAATAATACAAGAATTAAGGAGGGGCCAAGGTTTGGTTCAGTTTTTGTTTTTTTACCTCAGCTGCTATCATCTCGGCCTGAGTTCCTCCGAATCAGCCAAACCAGCTGCTCGGGGAGGGGAGCCTTGTTACTTTCCTTGTCTCCCACCCTGTGCACCACTTGGCTAACAGGAAAGTCTTGTGGGTTGGCTTGTTGGTTTTCCTCCCAGCCTGCATGGCCGCCTCAGTCACAGGAAGGCTTGATGATCTGAAATAAGATACTCCCTGGGAACCTGTTCAGAGCTTCCTGACTATTCGCAAGTGTGGGATTGTGGGTTAAGTGTGTACTGCAGGCTTGGCTCACGGTTGAGTTTAGACTCGTGCTCATCATAATGACAAATGATAGCCTGGTGTCACAGCTCAGTTTTCTCACTGCTAATGGACACAGTACCAAGACCTCACCTTTGGAGATGACTTTCCTCTCTCCATTGGCGAGTACAGATTCATCAGACCCTCTTCTGTAGACTGTCCATGGGCCAGAGCTCTTTGGGCACAAAATGTACACAAAAGCATTGCTTTGGTATTTGGGGTTTTGTGTATGCCTAGCTTACTACTGTGCTGCCCATGTCTTAGTTACTTTTCTCATTGCTGAGACAAACTACCTGACACCCAAAGTTAAAGGAGGAAAGGTTTATTTGTTCACAGTTTGTAGAGGTTTCAGTCCATTATCGGCTGGCTCCAAGTCAGTGTCGCGGCAGAGGGACATCACAGAGGAGAAACAGTCCAAGGCAAACAGGCAGGACAGAGCAGAAGCAAACCAGCCACGAGCCCCTTTGAGTCCTTACAGCTTATCCAGGACCCTCACCCTTAGTTAGGGTAGGCAGCCTCATACCCTTAGTCCCAGCATCACACACTACAGCCAGCCACCTCTGAGAAAGCCCCAATTAGGACCCACACGGGTTAGAGTGGGCATTGAAATAGCCATGACCACCTATGGTTTTAATGTAATCTCGGCCAAAACGTACAGCTCTGTACCCCTTGCCCAGCATGAAGGTTGAAGGGGGTACTCCTCCAGGTACTATCTGAAAATTGTCAGATGTTTTCCGTTTCCCCAGGAGACTACCAAACACTAACACCCCACAGGGAAGAGTGCTGTCTTCTTGGTGCCTTTCAGTAGCCCTTAGCGATTTCCATGTTGATCTTACTCATTGTGTCAGATTCAAAGAAAACCATTTATTTTTATGTTTTTCTAGTGCATGAGTTTATAACATCAAACAGAAAACTCCAGAGCTGTCACCTTAATGTCACATACACTTTTAATACTTTGCAACACTGCAGAGATAATAGTTATTCATGTTATCTTTGTTTTTGATCAATATGATGTATATTGAAGAGCATGGTTATAGCTAGGCCTACAAATATTTTTCTACCTACCTTTGTTACTTTCCTAATAAAGTGTTGTGTGGGTCCTGTGGGGCTATCTCTGTCCTATGATCTGAACATCTGTATTATCATCCTCCAAAAGTTTTCGAGTGTGATGTCAAACTGCCTGAAGAATAACTATTAGTCATGTGTTTTCTTTCCTGTATATTAGGGTTCATTGACATACTCACATCTTACTACCTAGAGAGAATAAACTTCCTAGAGCTAGTGCTTACTCTTACAGATAACTTGTTGCAAGCATGTGTTTTATTTTCAAACCAGTGAATCCAAAGCTCCATTCTTCCTCCTCTCTTGGAAAGCAGATCATTATTTCCCCTGCCCTAGACAACAAGGGCCTTGCGTGCTTTTGAACCCATGAGAATTATTCAGCAGAGCCATATGCCTGACATTCTCACACTGTGGAAGGCAAGGGCAGGAGAATCACAAGTTTTCACCCAATCTAGGCAACATAGCAATTTAGTGGGTCTCTATCACAAAGAAGAAGAGCCAGGGTCTAGTTCAATCCCCAGTGTCATACACACAAACAAAAAATTCAGAGTCACCAGTGCTGGTTTTCCTACTTTGTCTTTATAATTTCCCTACCTCTCAGGGACCTAAAATTATCACTGGATCTCAGTTTCAACCACAAGCAGTGGTAATGTGAATATCATAAGAGAAAAAGATCAATTACAGTAGGTTTTTTTCTTCTCCACTTGCCGCCTGGCTGCCCGCAATCCTGTGGTGTCAGTGAGACATAAAATAGACTTTGAAAACTGAAATAGACCAGCCTCCCTTTGGACCTAGCCCTAAGAACTGGGATTACGACCAGGACCTTCACGCCGAGCTACATCCCCGTTCTTTGGAGACAGGGTCTCACTAAGTTTGCCCACTCTGGAGTTCATCATTCCCGTTTCTTAGAACGGCTCTCGAGCCTTTAGTTGATACTTGTGGTTTACTGCTTAAATGGCTCAACTTCCCATCAACACCAGTCAGAACTGAGCAGCTCTGGGTCCTGTACCTCATGTAGTAAATCAAAGCTTCATTGCCAAAGGGTCTGCATCCTCCCTAGCTGCCATATTTCAGATATTAACTTTCCGTTAAACTGTTCTGTGCAGCACAGAAGTTTGACTGTTGCAGAAATCTGGTATCAAACCAAATGGAAGGTGCTTTGCACCAAGGACTGGAAAGGCCACTGTTCATTACCCTAGTGGGCTGGTGGGCCAAGGCCAAACCTTAATCTCGGTCTCAGGCAAAGTCGCTGGATAGGAGCAAAATCAGAGAAACTGTCTGCCAAGGTATAACACACACTGTCTGGAGTACAACAACCAATGATCTTCTCTGCAGAAATCTCCCCATCTTGCTCTTCACTGGCAGGATTTCTATCAGCCTTCTGGTATTCTGAGCTCTGCCCAAAATCTTCCATCAAGTATACCCCAAGGTGTCCCAGGCTCCACTTTTTCAGCCAGCAACTCTGAAAATTTCCAAACACTTCCCACAAGGCAGTCCCAAAGGTTCCTGTCCCACATGTTCAGGTGCAGTTATAATGATGACTCCACTGCTGGTAACAAATTCTGTCTTACATTTCTCATTGCTGAGACAAAATACCTGACACCCAAAGTTAAAAGAAAGAAGAGTTTTAGTTCACAGTTTGTATATGTTTCAGTCTATAATCAGCTAGCTCCAAGGCCAGGTGGTGTGGCAGACAGGCAACAGGTCACGGCAGGCAGAAGGTGGCAAAAGCTAAACAGGGCCTTCACAGCTGCTTTCTGACCCTTTTGTCTCGTCAAGATTACTCAGAGTGGGTGGCACTTACACCCTTAATCCTCCTCTTGAGTCTAGCATTTCACCATGAATAAATCCTGGTGTCATGTGCTCTAGACTCAGCCACTTCCGAAAAAGCCCCACCTATGACTGTGTGAGGATTTGGGAGCAGCTGATACATCTAGACACAAGCCGTACCAACTGCCCTCCATTTATTCCAGCTCTAATAAGAGACACAATTTGCACTGCAGAGGCTGAACAGAGAGAACACACATTGAAACCATAACTGAACCTTGCATCCTTTTTTTTCCATACTGGTGATGATAAGTAAGCACTTAACCACTGACCTTTGCTTTCCAGCCTAAAAATTTTCACACTGGACCAAACTTTGTCAATTACCTGATCAAACATCTACTTTCTCCACAGGATTGTGAGAAGGAGAGTGTCATAATATTAAGAATGTGCAGAATATCCCAAACCGACTGGCACATGGAGATAATCCCAGCTACTTAGAAGGCAGAGGCATAAAGGCCAAATGGAGGTTACCCCAGGAAACTAAGAGCCTGCCTCAAAATGAAAAATTAAAAAGGGACATAGATTTAGCTCAGTTCAGAACTCCTGGGTTTAATCCCCAGGAGAAGGAGGGAGAGAGAGAGGCACCATCAGTCTCCCAGTGACCCTAGGTTCACTCTCCAGTACTAAAGGCAAAACAAACCGAAATAAACACCACAAACAAAAACAAGATTTCCAAATTACTTTCCATATGACCCTTACGGGACTGTGTGATAATACCAAAAGGGTCCTAGACAAAGAGGAGAAAATCAACAAAAATATTTGAGAATGTTCTCAAATTTGGTGTACTGTGAAGATTCAAGAAGTTCAGTGAGCCTAAAGCCAAAGTAAATGAGGGTAAGAAAATATGAAACTAATGAAACCTAAAGAGATTTCTTTATAATACATATGATGGTTGAAAATATAAGATGGGGATTTCAATTATGTTGGCACAGTAAGAATGATAACAAAGGTATTGGGGAACGGGACTTGTATGTTAGGTTCTACATCCATTTCAATGGTAAAATATTCCATTTAGACTGAGAAATACATTGTAATGAAAATACAATAGTAAATGAAAATCAGTCTGGAGGAAAAAGGTTGATCCAAAAGAACAGTGTTAAAGGGGAAAGTCAATGACAAAGAGACGCCAGACGTCACCAATGACACAATTGAATCGTAATGTTGTCAGATACATTAAACATAAATGATCTAAACAGTAATTAAAAGGGTGGGCCCCACCTTGCCTGTGTCCACCCATAGCTCTGCAGATCTCACATCAGCAAAATGCCCTGAGTACCTACAGCACGATACAAGCAAAGTAGTAGGAATACTTCTGCTGTCACTGGTCCTTGCCAAGCAGATCCATTCAAATCAAACACCTCTGGTGACACTTTCTCAAAACCAACGCACCCCTATATAAAATAATGCCAGGTGGCAGTGCCCAGCCAGTCTCTTCCTGGTGCTCCTTTCTCTGTTGCTCCTGGGGTGAATGGGGTGGGAGAGACTACACCTGTCACTCCAGCACTCTAGGAGACTGAGGCAGGAGAATTTCGAGTTCAAGCTCAGCCTAGAAAACTTAACAGTTTTGTAGACAAAGTATTCTTCTCAAAATAAAAATGAAAAAGAGGCCAGGATGTACCTTGATGTGAAATCCTCGGGTTGAATCTCTAGGTGGCGGGGGTGGAGGGGTGGGGGGGGGACACGGGGACAGAGAGAAGGAAATGGAGAGAGACTGATTCCAACGTGACTAGATGTCCACTGCGAAACAAAGAATGTTCATCACATCTAACTCTACATTTTATTTGGTTACAACAGAAAATGCTGAGAGTTCCAAATGTGGCTGGTTTGGAGAACATGCATTTGAAAGATGCTTAATGGTTTGACAGATGATTAATGTCACCATTAATTCGATTATCTGTAACAGTTTCATGTGCAAGATAAGGGGAAATATCCAAAATTAACATGATTTCCTTAAATGTAGCTTAATAACATAGACACTCAAAATAAAAAATGGAGGCTGTGGAGGTAACTCAGTGGTACAGTGTACCTGGCTTCAGTAGCCAGGTCTCTGTCACTATGCCTGTCCCCCCGACATACATACACACACACACAGAGAGAGTGAGAGAGAACACACCAGGCACTTAAAACTATTTGAAAATAAGGTATATTTTCTTGAAGACTGGAAAGTGAGAAGAGCGACCGAGTTTTCATTTGGTTCATTAAATCTATAGGGGCTTGAGTGATGTGCGGGTACACTTGTAAAAAATGTCTTGAGAAGCTGGGCGTGGTGCACACGCCTGTCACCCCAGCACAAGAGAGGCTGAGGCAGGAGGATCTCCACAATTCGAGGTCAGCCGGGACACACAGTGAATTTCAGACTGAAACTGAACCAGACAGCGAAACCTGCCTCAAAAAACTAGAGAGTTAGGAACCCAGGATACGTCTCAGCGACAAGGCTCCTGCAGGGCAAGTCGTGAGTTCGATTTCCAGCGTCTGGGGTGGGGGCCCTAAAAAGCTTTGATGAACAGTCCTGCGGAGGAGACTCCCAATCCAGACCCGCCATGCTGCACCAATAGGTCGTCCACACCCACCTGCAGCCCCGCCCACAGGGCACAATCTACACTCCAATAAACCCTCAACGCCCGGTTCCAACTTCCCGCTCGGTGCTGGGACAAGCCGAGCCTCTGCCTGCGCACGTAGGACTAGCCTGCACCAGACGGAGCTGAACTCGGAGGACGCCGTAGGCAGCGAGCCCGGCCCCGCCCTTGCCGGAAGCGGAAGCAGCAGCATCGAGGCGTCTCCGTGTTTGTGACGTCATGTTTGCGCGACTCGGCCCCTCCTCTTTCCTTGTGGTGTGTTCCATTCAGTCAGCGACGAGGAGTTCCGCGTGGAGGGTCCGCCCTGAGGCGGTGCAGCTGGTGGAAGGCCAGTGTTGTGCTGAGCCGCCTGAGGTCCCGGGAGGTCTGTTTGCGCTCGCAGGCTTACGTTAAATAATTGCCACCGGTGATTCGAGTCACGTTGCCGACGTGCCCGTGTTCCGCCGCCCCCTGGACCTGGCGGCGGAAGCGCGTTCGGGTGAGCACTGCGAGAGAACCGGGTGGGCCGCGGGTGGAGTCGGGGCTCGGGCTCCTAAAGTGTCCCCCGGAAGCCTCCTTTGTGTGGAAAGTGATTGAGTGTTGGGGGCGCTCTACTCATCGGTGGTGTGTTTCATGGCTGGCTGCTGTTCCGGAGGTTGGGGCCCGGTTGACTGGAAGGGTGTTTTCTCGTCGCTTGCCCCTCTCCTGTCTCCACTTCCTGGCTTCTGTGCGGTGAGCAGCTTTCCTCCGCCATGCGTTTAACCCGCGCCAACTTTTGCCTTGGAATCAGGTGGGTTCCGACTGAAACTACGGAAACCGTGAGCCAAAATAAAACTTATTTGAATTGTGGATTTGGGGTATTTTGTCTTAGTGACTGGAAAGTGACAAATATGGTCATTCTCTCTTAGATAAGCATCCTTTGTTAGGTGCCTATCGTGTGCATATATCTGTATGTGACAGGAAAGGTTTTTAGTCCTTTTGATAAAGAGAGCCAAAAGTACATAACCTTCCCTTTCATCTGAGCCTTGTAGGCCTACGTACATCCTCAGAAAACTTAAAAACCTAACCTCCAGCAAGAAAGGATAACTGTTCTATTGCATTAGTAGTAGAATAATTGTGTTTACTATTGAGAAGTTAATTGGACAAAGTCTTTTTTCTACATTTGTCTTTAGAGCAGTCAAACGTCTTTCAGGTCATTTCAGTATAGAATTGTAATACAGTACAATGGAGTACATTCATTTTTCGCATTTTCTTCACATTTGCTTTCAGATAAAATACATTTTATTGTAAACTATTTAAGAATGAGCACTCTGAAAGTAAATTGTAGGTATGTTATGTGAACATTAGATAGTGATGCATCTCCTAAATAGAAAAAAAAGACTCAATTTAAATCAAAATAATAGCAAGGGTTGGAAGTAGCTCAATAACAAGGGTTAGTGTGCAACTCAGGCACATTATATTAGGCCCTGCGTTCATTCCCCATCGGCCCACTAGCAATGCCTGATATCTACTCCATAAAAATTTATCTGCATCATTGTGACATAGGTGTAGAGAGTCTGTATGTGCGTATGTGTATATACAAGCATGTGTTTTAAGGAGTTAAACTTAGAGTAGAGCTGTTCCCTTTAACTATACCTCAAGCCCCATACTGGCTTCGGGATGTCTTGAATCTAAGATCAAGGTTTCTTTGTCTTACTAAGACACTAGGTTGCTCCCGTGGCTTGAATTTGGGTTCCTCTTGCCTTAGCCCCACAGAATACTGACATGACAGTGTGCCAGGTCAAGGTTTCTCATTATGTTTGTTTATGTTATATAATCTCTTTAGCGTGCGCCTTCTTTCTTGAACTCATTGGTGTTACATCCATGACTGTCCCGTGGTTCAGAGCTACCCAGCAGCAAGACCTAAATTACAGCTCCATCATGAACATGTCAGGCCTAAAATTACTCCTGACTCTCCGTTGTGTTGGCGTTTTGAAGAGGCCCTCATTGGTTTAAAAAGTCAAAGCACTTTGCTGTTTGTGGTTGTCTTCTCATGGCACATTTAAATGAGTACCTTTGTATTAGATTTTTATTATTACATGTTTCGAGTACATAATGATCACTTTCCTTGTAGGGATTTTCCGGTTTCTGTTAATAGTAAGCCTATTGGGCTGGGGTTTTAGCTGAGTGGCATAAGTGCTTGCCTTGCATGGGCGAGGTCTCAAGTTTGATCCCCAGTACCGACAAAAGTTTAAAAACAAAAATAGCCTGTTAGTGTTCATGTACCGTGTGTTACATCTTATTTCTTTTTTAGTATTATTATTTCTGTTCCTCCCTCCTCCCTTCTCCCTGAGTCTTTCATTTCATGATTGTATAATTGACGATAGGGTCCATAGCAGAGGCTGGAAATCAGTATGAAAAGAGCCTGCTAGTGAGTGCAGGATGCTTTGAGGGCATAATGTTTCTAAGTTAGCAACCTCTGTCTTGGTAATGGTCAAGCAGCCAGATGTCAGTAAGCGGATAGTGTAGCTTTCTTCCAGTAAAGCCTAATTTATGATAGTAGGCCAGTGAACTATAGGCCATCAACATCTGGGTAGAGAATTCCAAAGGTCATTTACCAAATCTTTTGTAGGTCGTGCGTGCTTTGCAATGGCAGTTTATTGGGAGTAAGTGCATTTATACCATTCCTCTATTTGCAGTGAAAGGCTTTTTGGTTTGGTTTGTTTGTTTGTTTTTACTATACCAGGGATTGAACCTAGGACCATTGCCCTGAACTACAGTCTCCGGAATTTATTTGTTTATTTATTCATTCATTTTAATTTAGAGAGTCTTGCTAAGTTGCCCATGCTTGACTCAATTTTGCATTCCTGCTGCTTTAGCCTCCCAGAGTGCTGAGATTACAGGTGTGCACCACGACACTCAGTTTTGGATAGGAAGTTTAATACTTGCTTAATGTATTGATCAACACGGCACTCTGGCTTAAACCTTCTCCAGGAACTTGTCCTCCTTACTTCTGAACATGTGTGAGTAATCTGCAGTGAATAAACTTTTTATATTTTTCCTATTGGTAGAGACTTATTTTCAAGATTGGTTACCTATATCAGAGGACAAATAACACACTTAATTATAATTTCATTGTACCTTATGGTCTTTTTTACCTTTATATAGTACTTGTGCCGTTTTAGAGTGTCAGAATTAACTTTTTAGAAGAAATTAGTTAAAATTATTCTGGAGGGAAAACAGTGAATAGATTTTTAACCGCAAGTCATTTGTTTTCAGAAAGACAGTTAATGTCCTCTCCACTTCAATCCTAAGAATACTACAGTGTATTTGGCTAATTTTCATTGTGGACAGGTCATTATTATTTTGTGAATGTTGAGTCTATTGTGTTTGATTGCATTTCAGTTTGCCATTTTTTTTCCTTGAGGTACGAGGGGCTGAGCCCAGCCTCTTTACACTGAGCTACATCTCTGCCTCTTTTTTATTTTTTAAATTTTGAGACAGTGTCTTGCCAAGACACTAACTTGCCCAGGCTGGGCCCAAACTTGTAACCTTCCTCCTTCAGCCTCCAGAATGCTGCTATCCTGCCAACTCTTTCAGTGTTCTATCTATTTTGCTTGGCTGTCCTGTTACTTTTTTGTGAGGAGTGGTAATTATCTCACAACAAATGACCAATGGATTCCCTCCGTGAGACTCCTTACAGACACTCACATCTTTGTGGGGCAGAATCAATGCTGTGGGTGGGTGGCCAATTAACCTTTTCTCTCACTGCAGGTGCCAGAAGACTTTAGAAGCCCAGTATCTTCGTAACAAGTCTCTCTTTTTTTTTTTTTTTTTTTTTTGGTCTTTTTCCTTGTTATCAGTACCAAGGATCGAACTCACGACTGCCTGCTTGCAAGGCAGGCGCTTATGCCACTGAGCTAAACCTCCAGCCCCAACAAAAAAGTCACTTTAAGATTTCCCCTTAGAAACAGTGAACTAACCAACAGTTATTAGCCAGGCACTTATTTTAATAAGTCTATTAGCTCTCCAGAGGGGTTGGTAAAGGTGTACAGAAGTCAACTTCTGGAAGAACATGGCAGATAGATAGCAGCAGCTATGGAGGCTCTCAGAGATACCCCACTTAGAATCCAGGAATGCTGTGGTACGAGGAGTCCTAAGCAAGCGGAAATACACCCTGCCAATCCAGGAATGAACTAAGCTAAGAAAAACCAACTGGAAATCCAACCCTGGTGCTATAACAAGAACAGATAAAATCTCAGCATGAACTTGTGCCATTGGAAGCCGCGATTTGAATTTCCTGCTGCTGCTGCTGAGTCCAAATCTGCACGGCAGGGAGAGAGACGCACGAAAGCTCTGAGAGCAGGAATCTGCGAACAGAGTTGAGAACGAGACAAGCAGGGAGCCCTACATCGACTTGAGGTGAGTGAGCGAAACAGGAACCCTTTCATAGAGTAGGAGTCCAGCAGAGGACACACTGGGACCAAGCAGACTTGCCAGAACAGTGCGCTGCAGTGACTTCAATCACATACTCCCTTCTCAAGCGGGATTGGTGGGGAGTGCCTGGCCTGCATGACGCCCTGACTAAGACCCAGTAGGCTAGCCCAAACCAGGTCCCAGCACCTGGAGGTGCACCTTAGCGGTGAAGCCTTCGGTAGGTTGACCTGGAGGGGTGGGCCCAGCAGAGGCTGTCCAGGTCTGTGTCTCCCTAGTACACTGCAGTGGGCAGGTACACCTAGCCAGTGCAATTCAAACAAACTAACCAAAAAAGAAAAAAAAAAAAATTGGCCTCCTACATTCACTTGTATGGAAGGAACAAAAAGTATGGGAAGAGGAAGCAACAAGAAAGGGTCCTCAGTCCCCAATCCTGAGAACACTGATCCAGGAAAGGGAAACGCAAAGTAAGGCAGAAAACATGCAATATGAAACACGACACGGCACCAATAGACATAAAGCGATATCTCCAGAGTCTCAGAGACAAGTTTAAAAATGAAGTATTTAACAAAATAAAGCAAGATGTAAGTAGAATAGTTAGAGAAATGCTAAGCACCGCCCAAGAAAAAACAGATGGTGGAATGGAAGAACAGAAAAAAAGGGGAGAATTGTTTGATGGAGAAAATAGAGAAAACATAGAATACGTGAAGCAGGTTCAAAGAGATTACCAGGAAACTAAAAACTATTGAGAGCTGGCATAACAGCTTAAAAGAAACTAAGGATAGATTATCTGAATTGGAGGGCAGACTTGTAATATGGGAGCATAAAATGAAAAACTTCTTAAAAATAACAAAAAAACAAACAGCAACAATTCAAAAGCTAGAAGATGATAAGACGATCTACAACTTAAGAATTAAGAACATAAGAGAAGAAGTAGGGATACAAACAAATGGACTATAAAAGCTATTCACAGAAATAATCCAAGAGAATTTCTCTAATTTAGCAAATGGTAAAGATACTCAGATGTATGAGGCATACAGGACCCCAGCCACCTACAACCCAAACAGAGCTACACCCAGGCATATA